CTATTAAATCCACAGTAATGTCAGGATGCCTTTGGTGTTGAATTATTTCTTGGTTTAGACTCATTAGAGCTGGTTGCTGCTGATTTCTATTGTATGGATCAATTATTGCACATGATTCTGATGGCTATAAAATTTAACACAACATAGTCGAATAGGTTAACACATTGTTCAGGGATGGTTTTCAATATGTTCACAGAAGGCTGTTCACTGTTGAAACACTTCACTCCTGGTATCACCATTTGTGGTCTGTAGGATCCTTTTGCTTGAAGAGTGGAGTTATAGAAGTATGATGGTGAATATATCAGCTTCTGATGATAGTGGATATGCTTGTAATTTTTGATATCCCATAAAGCTGTCCCACAGAAATGCACTGGTTTGAAGAAATTTGGTCCACGATTCAGTCAGTAGGTAACAGTAATTTTCCTCACATAACGATGAAACAGTAAGATCCAACAAATATAATTATGATTTCAGTTAAAAGTTCAACAATTAACACAAATGACACGATGAAATATCAAGAAGAAAATGTATGCAAATCTCAAGAAATTTTGTAAACAAACTACACACTCTTTGCCGCCATCTTGTTTTGAAACAGCGCCCCCAACGGTCGATCACCTTGCCAATAGTCAATAATACTACTGTGATACTACTCACTAGGCAACTGCCAATCAAAACACTAGACTCACTAGAGGTAGAGGGTGGTAGAGGTCAGTCGTTACTTGCGTTCTGCAAGATTACAAATAACCATGATTTTGGTACATACGCATTTTTAGACCAATCAGAACGATTCTAGCTATGGTGATCAATTTGTATAATATAAAAACAGCTTTACTTATTCAGATATTAAGGTGGAAAATATTTTCTGGCTATCATATTAATTTTATAAAATAACGAATTTTCACTTCATAGATTCCAACAAGTGTATATATGAAAAAAACGTCAATGAAAATTCGATTCACTTTATGCACCTCCACAGTATTCTTCCAAAAATCACTTGGATAAAAACAAAAATTGTTTATGCACGACTGGGCGTAAAGTAGCACTTTACCGTCCGGTTTTTCGTGCGTAAAGTGGCACTTCACCTAATGCCCGCGGACTACTTCACCGCCTGGCGTATAGGCAAGTCGTAATATAATTCAGGACATTTTTATTTTAGCTGTGATGGTTCATTTTCTAGTATTGATACGGTTCTTTCGATATTCCAGAGATGCAAAATAATATATATATATCGAACCCAAAAGTTATTTGATGTGAACTGAGTTTCCATGGTAACGTTGATTCCATCAATGATTAAAATCGTTCTTTTATTGGTCAAAAAATGCATCCGTACCGAAAGTCATGGTTATTTGATTTATTGCACATGCTATAACTGTCAAAATCGCCAAATCGAATATTTCAAAAAGAGTTGTTCGTTAACGTATGTGTTCAACGAATTCAACGATCAACGTCGTGTATTTGTATTGAGTTCAATTAATAAATGGTTATTAATAATAATGGAAGGAATAAGTGCCCATAGTTTAGCCGATGACACGTAAGTTGTACCATAATACCATATCCACCTACATTATTTTTTGTCATTGATTTCCCTAATAACTATAGATTATGTACACTGTAGAATAGTTTTACCACCAACCATTGTAGATCTAAAATGGAAAAGCTAGCTAGTACTAGGCGAGAGGAGAGAGGTATATTTCACCCTCATTATACCTCACGAGAAGGCACCAACCATTCTTATCCTATTATACCTAGACCTAGAGTACCTACCTAATTGTTGAAAATCATTATTAATAATTGATTATGGAATGAATAAGCCAGGGCTTTGGAGCTAAAGTCATGAAAAAATTTGCTATAAAAAATTTAAATCTCTCTGTATATAATCTGTGGTCATCATAAAAAAAAAAAATTGAATGAGCTGAGCTGAATGTAGAGTTGTTATGTTGAATGAATTGAAAATAGGATTAGGTAGATGAGTAAAGTTAATCAGTAGCACAATACATAGGTACTTACACAAGTTCTGATAAAGTGCTGTTTCACATATTTTGAGGTTGACAAGGAAAGGATGTGGTGACTGGGCTTGTCGAGTTTGTCTGACTGATATTCAATTATCAAACCAGAAATTTGAATTAGGCACCTTCTGCCTTATATTGTTTACAAATTAGGTATTTTTTGTGTACCTAAGTCTAGTAAGTAGTTAGGTATAGGCATAGATTAACGACTCCCCATGGTATAGGTATGTATATGTATCTGTGTAGGTACTTATATTGGTATCAAGCAAGGTTACAATAGTTATCAACAAGAAAATATCTTAGGAAATCTACAGAGAAACTTATTACCACCTACCTGAAGTTATTTCTTTTATGAAGTATAACTAAAAGCACTACCAGATAAACATCCAACAAACGTCAACATCACAATCACCATCATTATATTATGTACATACATAACAACTCTTCTTTGATAATAATGTGATGCCTTTTAGAGGTTTTTCAACCACATGACAATCCTGCGATAATGATAATATGAGCATTACTATGCTCATAGTTATGAAATCCCAACATTTATACCAAACCCAAACATCAGATGAGCTCTTCCTCTTATCCAACTGAGGTTATGCCCAGTCCCAGTACATTTCCTACAGGGTGAGAATACTAAATGGCAGTGCAACTTTTATATTATTACTGTGTTATTATTAATTCCTGAATGGAAAAATTCGCACCCACATTATTATTTTAAATTAAATATCATTTGTGTAAGTTGGTATAGAATTCGTATTCTTCATAAAATCAAATTCATCAAGAGGAACCCTTTCCAAGAAAGAAGAATGAGTAGGTAGGTAAGAAGATGGTAAGAAGCATAGATACAGCAATGTATAGTAATAAATCTATATGGTAAGAACATTTGATTCCACTGATCCTTTTGTTTACAAACACCCCTCAAAAATGCCTTTGCTCTATTTACCCAGTTTCAAACCAACCCCGTACACCCCCTTAGGTACCCTGATATTTAATATTTCTCTCTCAGAAATTCGATAAAAACGCATCAAAACGGCGCATGGAATCGAGACCACCAAGATGTTTACAACAGTATGGTGTCATCACTGATACTAGCCATTCAAAAGAATATCTGAATATTCAAGTAGTCTGAATTTCGTTACTGCAGTAAGAATGAATAACTGACAGTAAAAATGATAATGTCAAAAAAATTGTTATTTGTTTTACTAGGCACAAGATTTAATGCAGCGGCTGTCCTTTCATAGCTAAGGCGTATCTGAGGCTAGAAAACCTGCCAAGGCATTAAATACACTATTTTTTCGGCAACCATATAGATTAGCAAATGAGACACATTTCCATATTATATTTCACATAATATCTACTATTCCTTCTAATAATTCTTCTCATATTCATCCATTTTATATTAACTTCGGGATACTATATGTGATAAGAAATTATAATTTTGTCAATTAATTTTTCATAGGTAAAGGTACATACTAGTAATAGTAGAGAAAGGGGAGGCGGTCGCCTTGCAAGTAGGTCCCAGTGAGCCTTTTTTGCCGACCCCTGCTGCACACGTCATGTGCACATAATATCTACTATTCCTTCTCCTAATTCCCCTTTTCGAAACTCCGTGGATTTCTGATGAAGGTCAGTATGTCCCTTCACCTCAGTAATTTGATCTTTCTGTTGAAGCGTATCAGTACCAGAGATTTCGAATTTCAGCCTTCCATAACGCCTTATACACTGGCCCAGGTAGTGGTATGACATTGTATATAATAGATGCAGTTAGGGCATCAATGGATTCTTAGCCTATTAATTGTTGATTTCTACCCCATTGAAGTGGCACAATAGTTATTTGTTTAACTAGGCAGCAAAGTAGTAGATTGACTGCCGAGGCTGAATTCATAGCCGAGCATAGCGAGGCATATTCCAACTCGAACTGCGAAGAAGAACATAATGATAGTAATGAGATATAGAATTTACTTTTTTAGAAATTAACTACCTACTTATAGTTATTCATAAAGTGAAATGTACAATTTTGATAAATGGTATCTTTTTATTATCTTGGAGATGGTTGCTCTCAAAAGAGTGTATACAATTGCTATCCAATTCAAACAAATCAAATTGAATTTATGTGACATAGAATGATTAAAAAAAAAAGATATCGTCGCCGAGGGCTTGAACCATCGGACCTTCGTATCCTCGCGCAACAATCCTATCAGTTGCGCTACATCAGCGGTTCAGTCAGTCACAATAACTTGAGGAAATGAAGAAGATTACTTCAAAAAGGAATTTGAATTATTCTAGTATTGTTGTGTCAGACCGTCAACAAATATGCAAACTTTTTAAATTACACATGAAACGTCCAGCCAGAATAAAATTGTCTCTTCTTTCGTACAAAATATCTCACTAACGCGAATTATAAGTAAATAAAATAAAGTAGGAACCTAGGTTATTGTCTCAGATTTGAATCCAAAGCAATCTTGACCAGACACGATGTCAAAATTTTATCGCTGATAAACGAGGTTTGTTGGTCACGTGTGGGTCAATTCGGCTTCTGTATTGGTAGAGCAAGTCCGATAAAATTTAATGAACAAAAAATATCGCTAGAATACAGAAGAAACCGTGAAAATGGTCGATTCTGATTGGTTCTCGAGATCAAGAGTGGAATAGTCAGTATAATACCCGATAATAGGGAATGATTGGCTAGGATAACGCATTGCTATATTGGTTGAAACAACGAAAACGTCACATATTGACATGTTTGACAAGAAATGAGTATATTTTCGGTTTCAACACACCAAAAACAATGCAATTCACTCGATTTTATTCCTAATACATTTTGGCAGCGCTGCTGTTCACTGTGTGTTTATGTGATTATCAGCCCTGATGTGAGTAATCCCACCATCAGTCTAGCCATCTTGATCGGGTCCAGCATGATGTTGTGAATCTGTTTGTTTCATCTTGTCATTCAAATCGGAGCGTTGGTGCTACGCTGGTGTGTTCACAACGTTTCGTGTCTCTGACGAAAGTGCTTCGTCAAGTGTCAAGTCAGCTTTGATTTTTGAATATTGAATGGGCTCGCGTCCCACGGGTTGTTTTAATTCTAGTTACTGGGATAGTAAATATCGTTCGTTCGTTCGTTCGTATCGAGTGTGCCTTGAAACTGTCTCTGGTCCAAGGAAATTGTGTTACGAATTTATTATGTCGTAGCCACAGAATAATTGTTGGGTAGTCTGTGTCGTAGCGCTGCTTTTCTCGGTGCAAAAGACGCTGATCGAGCGATTTTCCCTCGGATTTTCCCATTTGATTTCGTTATGTGCGCTTCTTAGTGCGTTTAGTTTTTTGTCCGTGATGTCCTTTTTCAATTTTGGTGGGGATTTTTCTGGTGCTCCGAAGAGGCCTTTGAATGCCAAGAGCCCCACGATACCTTTTTGGTGAGTTTTTTGGTTGTTGTTGTTTTGTTTGAGCGGCGGATGTTTAAAAATATAAATGTGTCTACTCTGGTTGACGAAGGGGGGGACCAAAACGGATGTCATTAAGTGATGGTTTGTTACATCACTGGATGTGTTTTTAAATGTTTGGGAGCACAGGAATTGGGCTGGCGTAGCTCCTATTTTCATATTGATTCAACGAGGATTCAACACTCGGTATATTCACAATTCACGTGTGTTTTTTTATCGACCTGTGGAATATTATGCAAAAATAGCTTCACATGCCGAGAACCTATTTCAAAAATGGCATTTCTTGATAATTTGTTATTTTTTGGACATCAATTTTGGAGATTACCAAATGATTTCCAATGAATTTATGATATTTTAATGAGCTCCCATTTTGCTGGTAGATTCATCTCAATTCACATTTCATAATGAATTTTTTTCAATAAAAAATTTTATTGAAAAGGAATATTCTTAGATATAATTATGAACATTAAATAATGGATAATAAAGAAATACATTGAATAACAATTTATCATACAAAAAATTGTATGTTTTTATTTTGAGACCTCCGTAACTTTTTAGTCCCTCGTGTTTTCAACATATCCAGCTTCGTTTTCGAGAAAAAAAATTGAAGCCACTTCAACGCCCTGTATATCAGAAACGAAGCAACTCCGGAGATGATTATTTGTTCATAGAAACTTTTTTTTAACGACCGAACGATTTATCCTTGGAAGATTCGTACCGTAGTTAGGAAACACCCTGTATACAGGGTGTTTCAAAATTCAGTGTCAAGATTTAAGGGACATATTTTGCAGATCAAAATACTCTTTTTCCTATGAACATGTGGTCCGCAAAACGCTTCGACATCGATCTACAGAGCGTTAAAATTTCAAGGAGATAAAAAACAGTACTGTTTTCCCGTCACAGAAAAAAATATTTTTAACAAAAGGAAGGAACCAAATATCACGATTGAAACAAAAACGCTACATATTTACTTTATGATATTAATTATAAAGTTTCCAAACATTGCCTGAGAAATAAGAAATCTAACGAACCTCAACTTTTTTATAAAAGGGGTATAAAAGGGTATTTTATATTTATAGGAAAAAAGTCATTCTGACCTGAAAAATTGGTCCCTTAAATCTTGATACTGAATTTTGAAACAACTTGTATACATGTAAAGATTCCTGAATCCTCTCAAAGAATTTTATGTGATTTTGTGGAAATACCCAATATCAATTGTTTTTCGAAACTATACCTACCTGATAATTTCTCACAAATCCCGGCCATTTCATGAATAATTCATAGAATTTATTTCTATGGTTATCTGATGGGCTCGTAGATTTCCTTTTCTGATTGTTTGTCCTTATTTCATAGTGTAAATATTTTCTATGACTCGATAAAAACGCATCGTTCGTTGAAATTTATCGATAAACATAGTGTCTTTGAACTCGTCATTTGTTGGTATAAATCGGCATTTCAATGTGCACCTACTTATATTTATTTACGCATAAAATTTAATGACGAAAGCGTGTGAATGGATGAGAGTTCTAAAAAAGGAAATGAAATGAGCCATTTGATAGGCCTTCTGTAGAACATCTGTCATGAATCTTCTTCAATTGCATAGAGTACATAATATACATCAGACAAGTCAACTATTATCACAATAGTATGGATACAGTATACAGTGCAATATTCCTTCAATGAATGACAAATCGAACCATCCTTAGTGAATTTCCTTCCCTTCCATCCTTCCATCTAATTGTCATGCCTATCTTATCTTTTATTTGCTTTATTATGACTATGGTGAGTGAATGCAGCTGCCTCAGATGGATGTTTTCAATAATGATTATCAGTCTAAGTAAAAGACGTTTCAGATAAATAAGAATAAAATTGGTTTTTGATGGGTTTCTACCGTAGAAATATCAATTTTCCTCTATGGTTGAAATGCATGATAGCTTCAACAGACTTTTACTTTGATCTTATCAGTTCAAGTGCCACATCAGTCCAACGCGGAACCACACAAAAAAATTTTATACCTTCTGACAGTCCAAGCCGGACTCACATGGTCATACTATTCGTAATTCAAAGTAAAATAAATTCAAGTCCTATTTTTCTCATAAAATGCAAATAACAAGTGAGCCAATGAAAAAGTAAATGATAACTTACTAAAGTCAATTTTTACATAAAACAAAAAATATTACAGCTACAAATTATATCTAACGTATCTCAATTTTTCAAGTTGTTCTCATCCTTTCGCTGCTAATATGCATACTAATAAATCAGCTGTCAATTCCCGTGGAAACGCCATATTGGACTCACAATGGCATTCCGCAACAAAAGGCTTTGCTGGTGGCCGCAAAACTCCAATTTAGACTCACATTTTAAAAACCCATTTTTTTGGACTAAAACTATACATTAGAATGAATTTGGATTCAAAAAGAAATATAGAAAGCCAATTACATGAAGAAAAGTATTTGGCCACTGGAGACGTCAAATATTTTAACATTGCGGTACCAATGCCACTTGAAGTTGTCTCAAGATTAAAATATAGTAATTCATACAACAATAATATAAAACATTATTTTCTGCCACTCTGCAATGAATTGTCTTCAAATTCTAATTTCAAAGTAGGTATACCTACATAATTTAGACACCCTGTTAATAATAATATCGATACAAGGGCATATTCATTGAGTTTATTAGGTGCTTCAACTAGCATCGCTATAGATACAGTGCATTGCCATTTCAATAATTGTTCGTATGTGTACAGGCTGTCCCATTTTCAATGTCCTCAACTTTACTTTTTTCGTGAAACTCATCGATACCGCAAATAAAGTTTTCATAGCCCGCTTGGTTTTTGAAACCAGTGGCGTAGACAGATTTTCAAAATAAGCTGTTATCAAACTACGCAACACTAGGGTCCCTTGATGGAAATTGACGTTAAAGTCATCTTAACAGGGTACGGACAGATCCTCGTCTCCTCTCACTCTAAAGTGTTTGTGAAACAGTTATATAGTTCCATCCTCATTCAATTCTGGGGATAAACACTACATTTTTGACATTCGTTGTTTTTTAGGTTATATTGAGGTCACTGGCGTATCATACGTAATTTCTATATGGAATTCCTGATTCAACTATACCAAGATATAGCTGAACAATCCTCTAGTTTTAGAGTTTACTACTCCAGCATAATCTTTGCGATTCAGGGAACATATGAATTGTACTGAAAGCTCAATATATTTCACCAAAAGAGACTGTTCTTAGACTGTATACAAGGGTAATTAACTGGATAAATTCTGATTTCAAGCTGAGCAGTAGTTTACCTATGAGCTGAATGAGCTGAGCCTTATTATGATTGGGAAATAGTGGAAACCTCGATGTGGGTATCTGGACTACTGTACTCATGTCATGTGTGCTAAATGTATTTTCAGAAATCCAACTCGGAGAAGAATTCATGGAGTTACTAATATCACACTATGTAAAAGACTTCGTCTAGGACGAAAAGTAGGCTGAAAACCTTCAGATAACAATCTTGAATAGAATCAGATCATAATTAGAAAATTCGTTTGCTATATATTGGATCCGTCATCTTGAATTTTCGAAGTTTGACGAACAATCATCATCTCCAACCCCGGAAACCCACAACCCACATACCTTTCAATTTTGAATAGAATCGGATCATGATTACAAAACTCGTTCGCCATATGATCTTCCTCAACAAGTAAATACCCTGTACATAACTATAATTAAAATTTCGAATGATTTTCTGTAGCGGCCATGGATGTGACGTGACAGCAATGTCAGGGATGCCAGTAGACAAAACTAAAATCTCTAGATCATTAAAAAAGAATGCAGCTATGATCTGTCCGTACCCTGTTATGATGACTTTAACGTCAATTTCCATCAAGGGACCCTACGCAACACTAATTTCGACGCACCCCAAAATGTTGCCTCTGTTGAAATATGAATAACTTTTTTCTGCTTTGAACGATTTGAATTCGGATCACATTGTTCGCTAGCCCAGTTCTTTAGCTATAATCTCGTACTTCTTAAAAACATGAGGTTCTTCACATAAAATCGCTACAGGGTGTTACCTGAAACTGTGAAAAATTTCGGAAATTTCAAGAGTATCCCAAATGAAGAAAACATTTTTTTTCAATGACAGTAGAGGCATGTAGATGATCTCATTATCATGGTACACTTGTCAAATTGTCTCTTTATCTCTTTTATTTACAGAGTGATCTCAAAAAATCAAGTTTTTGGTTTTACAGTCATAACTTTTTTCCTCGTCAACCGATTTTTGAAATCTCAGGCTCATTTTGAAGCTTAAACTCCAGGTGAAGAGATATGAAGATCAGAATTGACTCAAGATGAAAATTAAACAGTGTGTCCTCGAGTGTGTCTGACTTCTGATGGAAGCACCCCTGTATCTTTCGTAATTGTTGAGTTAGGATTCTGAAATTAGCAAGAGCGGTAGATATACTGAAAATACACACTATGACCAAGTGGAATCGTCTCCATTGATATACACTGCTCGCCAAAAGCCAACACAAAAATGATATAAGGAGGCAAGATAGGTTGAAAACCACTGCGGATTCGAAACCAGGACGCCCCTTTCGCTTACTCCTGCAAATTTCAGGACCCTACCTCAATAATTACGTGAGATACGGGGGTGCTTCCATGAGAAGTGAGACAAGATTTAATTTTTTTTCGAACTGGAAATTTTCCAGGAAAAATATGTATAGTAACTGAAGTGGGCCTCCTGATTTCGAATCCGAAGTGATTTTCAACCTATTTATCACTGGAGATGACTCCACTTGGTCATAGTGTTTATTTTCAGTATATCTAAGTTTCTCTCATCTTCATGCCTCTGCTATCGAAGTTGGAAAAAATAGTTTTTGTTCATTTGGGATCCTTATGAAAATTCCGAAATTTTGCACAGTTTCAGGTGACACCCTATAGCGATTTTATATGAAGAACCTCATGTTTGAAAG